AACTAAACTGATATCCTTAAGTCCTGATATTCTAGGAAAAAAATGATGAGAAGCATCATAAGCATAGTCAGTTTGATATCAGTTTGAGCAATATCATCATCGAATGAATCAAATAGATCTAACCTGGGTTTTCCAATTTCATCATTTCCTCAGGTATCGCAAAACCGAGACAGAGATCTTGTAGATTTCATAAGAGATTGGGAAAACACAATATCTAATATTGAAAACTTTAATATTCCCACACTGCTTGATGATGCGAGAGACATTGAAAGTCGAAACAATTTCATGCACAGGATTCCAAATTACCAGAATAGAGTCATTCTAAGGAGGCATGGATGAGTTTACACACCAATTCTACCTGAATTTAATTCCTTTGAGTCTCGCTTCAACACATTTTCAAGATGGCCTGAACAGAATAACCAATCTCCTAGTAAACTTGCGGAGGCTGGATTTGTTTATCAAGGTATATTTGTTTTTATTCTAATCATTTTCATGATATAAATTTTAATATAACTTAATTTACATAAATTAGGTAGAGATGATATTGTTGTTTGTTATCATTGTGGGTTAACAGCATTTAATTGGACTTGTGATGATGATCCATGGATAGAACATGTCAATGCTTTACCATTATGTGGGTTTATTTATATTATGCGAGGAAACATGTACATTCAAGAAAGATTAACACTCTATCTTCAATCAAAACCTTTGATTCAACCACCACATCCCAGTGAAGAATTGCATCGCTATACATGCAAGGTTTGTTTGGAACTGGAAATTGGTACTGTTTTTACCATGTGATCATGCTGTTGGATGTTTTATTTGTGCTGTAAATGTTAGTAGATGTCTTTTATGTAGAGCAAGTATCGAAAGGATTGTACGCATTCAATTTGTTAACCGATGTCATTTTTATTTCTGCTAATAAAAACTTGCAGATGTATTTGTCAAGCTAGTTTCAAATTATTCTCCAGAATATTTTCTACAGCAAGCATTTTACAGCTATTATCAATGTTAACAAAATTAACAGACAAATTATTATGAGGTAAAAACTTTTTCTTCAACTTTCCATTTGCTATTAAACTATATTCTTCGATTTTGAATCTAAAATCAAATAAAGAATAAATCAAGCTTTCTCGCTTTTTCTTTTTTCAATCACTGCACTGTCTTTGCATACTGACTTCACTTTTATATTCACTCAACAAATGGCTTCAAAGACTGATACATTTTCAATCGAAATCTGGCTTGAAAACGAGTTTCACTCTTTAGATAAAGTGGCGTCAAAGACGCATTTTGGTAAGGTCCTAGGATTGGTAACACTGGCGTGGCTTCACAAGACTTTTAAATTTTCATCCAATGGAATTGACTCCGAGTTTCTTGGTGAGTTGAAGCTTTATTGACACTTTTAAATTCACTAATATTAAATTATTGTTGTTATGGACAGTCCTAAATAAAAAATAAAACAAAAAAACAAGGTTAACAAGGGTAAACAGAGGGTTGCTTGAAGGATTGAAGTACTTACTTTTACTCACTGTATTACTGGTGGTGGAGGTGGTGGTGGTGGTGGTGGTGAAGATGAACATGAAGATGAGTTGATTGAAACTGAACATGATTAATCAAGATGTATTCATTATAATGGGTAATTATATTTATACAAATTAAATGAATTTCAATTGTTTTTGAACATAAAAAGCTGACTTCTGAACTGCCTAGCAACAAACTCAAGCATAAGCTTGAACTTTTGTCCACTACTTTTGCCGTGAAAATATCTTCGTCTAAATAAATATTCAATCAAATATTCTGATTTTTTTGGTCCATTACTCTCTTTTGGTACACTTTCTTTCAAGCTTTTCCATAACCTTTCAACAGTTTGAGTATGAACATTTTCATCCATAGGATTTATAAAATTCACACTATGATTTACAGTGCTGTGAAAATACCCAATTCGTTGTAAATCATTATATCCTCGCCATTGGTCAGTTATTACAGTTGTTCCTTTCTTTATATTTCGTTCTATCACAGTATTTAATGTACTCATGGTTCTATCAGGAACAATTTCAATGAAACAACGGCCTGACTCACGTTCTATTCCTCCAACTACCCAGACATGTTTCTTCTCGTTACTCAAAAGTCTTCCTCGTTGATATTTTCTTCGAAATAATAATAATTCATCCACTTCAACATGTCTTTCCAGGCCTCCAACTTGTGGTTCAAACTCAGCGAGTGCAGAAAGAGCAACCTCACGACAAAATTGAAAATAATTGACAATTGTTTTTTATTGAGGTTAGTTTCCACGATTGTGTTCTTGTTCCCCTCGTCCAAACACCATTTAAATATCACTTCAAAAAACTCGATAAGATTTAGCTTGATATTTTCAAAACAAGTTCCATTAGTCGGAGAAATCGTTTTTTTACATATTGTACACCGAAGTATATAATTTAATTTAGATGTAGATTTTTTCACAACACTTAAATAACCTGGACAATCTTCACTGAGAAAACAGAAATAATTGTTTGTGTTTGTTGGTTTTGGTGGTAAAAGTTCGAGAAGCTGAGCAAACCCATGACCTGGAACATCATCATCATCAAACTGAGTTATTTTTGAAATTAAATTAAAACTAGTTAGATTGGCGAAGAAATTAGAGTCAACCATGCTTTACTCAATTGCAAAAATAATGATTAACCCGCCAATAAGCCATAGTCTTCTTCCAGAAAGACCAGGATATTATAAAGTAATTAGTCATCACTTAGTCAACTTCATTTCCATAACCATTTTCAATCTAAATTGTGTTTTCCTTTATTATGAATACATCTTGATTAATCATGTTCAGTTTCAATCAACTCATCTTCATGTTCATCTTCACCACCACCACCACCACCACCTCCACCACCAGTAATACAGTGAGTAAAAGTAAGTACTTCAATCCTTCAAGCAACCCTCTGTTTACCCTTGTTAACCTTGTTTTTTTGTTTTATTTTTTATTTAGGACTGTCCATAATCAACAATAATTTAATATTAGTGAATTTAAAAGTGTCAATAAAGCTTCAACTCACCAAGAAACTCGGAGTCAATTCCATTGGATGAAAATTTAAAAGTCTTGTGAAGCCACGCCAGTGTTACCAATCCTAGGACCTTACCCGCATTTTTATTACTACTTATTTGCCATGCGAATCTCCATGGAGAGAAAGGGGTCAAGGAGAAGATAAAGGTTGCTAAAAAACATAGGAAATTCAGGAAATAAAGGTGAAATCAGATTGAATAGGAATATTGATTTGTGATTTTCTCTTGATTAAAATTGAAACTAGCACGAGCCTTTACGACTGCATAAGGAATGGAATGAGCCTTATTAAAAAATTTATAAATGATAAAGGTTCACAAGGTATTTGATGTAAAAGGTTAAATCAACAGGAAAAGTGTTTCGAAATTAATTTTCACTATTTAAGTATTTCTTAGCCTAACTATTAGACATGAAAACATGATTGCCATTTAACTTTTGCTATTCATTGAACCAAATTAACCAGTTTGCGATCTGAGAATCTTCCCTTGTTAGTACTGTATAAGGCTGATCCACTCAAAATTCCCGGACTTTAATGCTTAATAACTTATTTATTTCTCAAAGGATTCTTATGATTTCTACATCAAGTAATATAACACCTTCTAGGTCAACTACACGATCCCGAGAAATTTTGAATTCGTCCCAATCGATGTGAAGAATAGCTCTTAGTGCTTCTCTCCAATAATAATTAAAATAAGCAAAACTTTGAAACATAAGAAATGCTTTGGACCAGCATGTGTTGTTTGGATGCTGGATTGGATGTTTTTCTGCAATAAAAATAAAGTAATTAACTTACAAGTGAACTCCAAGAAGTAGTACCAACCGATTTTGATGTTCTATAGCTCATTCAAAAGCGCTCCTCGAGTAGATAAAAAATGCTTTTTTAGCTGCTGATACTCATTTTTACAAAAGTTACAGGGTTTCCTATCGAAAATTTCAGGCCACAAATAATTATAAAAATCGCTTACAAAAATTACAGATTTTGATATTTTAATCAGATTTTTTTATATAGAGTGAAAATTCAGTCTTTTGTCTTTCATTTGATACTACGATCATAGTTTTAGGACAAACAGATAGCGTGCAAATCGATTTTGAAAAAAAATTATGCGAAAAATTGTGAATCCTATGAGAAAATTAACATTGAGAAATCAAAATTTTTCAATCTGAATTGAATTGAATTTCCGTTTTATGTAAAATATAAGACAAATAGCAATTCAACATTCATGCAAAGTGTACTTTAACATTGAATCCTTTTATTTTTAAAAATGTGACCTTTTACACAAATAATTCACTTATCGTTTTCTTAATCATACTTTGGTGTTTGTTCAAGAGTGAAGTTCAATTTTGAATATTATCATATTTATTGGAACATCTAAACTAATTACTTTATTCTTGTAATTAGTAGTTATGGCTTCAGAACACACACACGAATAGTGTTAAAAAAGCTTGAATAGTTGAGAATATTTCATGCAAAGGTTGACTTACAAGTTGTAAGTGCAAGTTAATCTGACAAATTGTGAGATAAGTTGTTATGAAAAGTTTCAATAAGAAAATCAAACAATTCGACTGACCATTAACTATTAAGTTCATTCACAAAAAACTCGCTAATAAAATAGCGCCATGTTAAGTTGATTAAAGAATGAACAAGTTGCAGTAAATACCTAAAGTGGGAGTTTTATGTAGTGTGTTTCTTGTCATCAATCAATTTCAATTAAGCACTGTATGCTTCAGCCCTTAATTAAGTTAGAGACTTCAAATATTGAGAGAAAAATTTAATAAAGGCGAAATTAGAAGTCAAAGTTTATAAATGCAAACTTTGAAGTAACGGCACTTGTGTAGTCAAATTGCTGGAGTTTCAGCGATTGACAGTTTTGATTAGTTTGCTAATCTGGTTTGATTAGAGCTTGCGGATACGTTAACCTGAGTCTGGTTACCGAATATGAAAGTAAAAAAGGAACATCATTTCTTCAAACAGTTCATTTGCTCAGTTGTGCCTTATTTAGAGAAAATGTTTTCCAGTGACAAGTTGGAATCAACGGAAGAAAAAGTAGAGCTGGATTTTGATGAACATGTCTTCGATCCTATCTTCAATTAGAGTCTCTTGAGTCAGCGCATAAATGCTAAAACTTTTTTAATATTAGTTGCAATAATAATGCATTCGCAACATTGTGCAAGATCTCGATTTTAACCCCTAAGAAACTAAATATTTATCTCAATCGCATGCTTTCTGTACTGATTTTTCATAATCATGAATTTCTCAAATTTCTCAAGGTTGTGCGGCTGAACAAAAATTTAAGTCCCGCCCTAAATAATAGACAGAAAACATGGGAACTAAAGATACAAACACTTGTTACAAACACACTCGTATTTTCAATGACTCCCAGAGCTGACTCCACGCTTTTGCAATGATCTTTTAGTACTTCGCTATTTTTGATACATTTGAGTTAGATTTTGCTCAGTGTTTTATAATGGATGAAGTGCATCAGAACTGTGATGACGAACTGATAATTATGAATAGAAGATGTGAATATTGTGTCTCTAAAAAGTTCATTTGTTCAGTTGTGCCTTATTTTAAAAAATTGTTTAGTAGTGATAAGTTGACATCGAAGGAAAACAAAGTGACTCTGGATTTTGATGAACGTGCCTTTGATGCTCTTCTTGACTGGATTCACACAGGTTTATTCATCATTCAAATGGATTATGTGATTAGTTTCTATGAAGCAGCTGATTATCTTAAGATCGATGATCGTCTGTGGGACCCTTGTATCAATTATTTTCATGACAATTTTACCATTGAACATCTCCCAGTTGTTTTACATCAAGTTACTCCGAAATCTCTATTGATCAATTCAGGAGCTGTTAATAGTTTCATTTGTCGCCATTTCTTAAAGATCGCTAATACTAATATTTTCTTGGATTATCCAGTTGCAACAATCGAACATATTCTCAAATTAGATTTAATGATTTACTCAGAGTATCAAATTTTTGAATCAATCATGAAATGGGTGAATAAGAATGTTTATTCGAGAAAAGGACTTCTTTCAAGGCTATTGAGATTCGTTCGTTGGTCTTTCATGGATTCTGTTGGCTCATCAAAAATCAAGGATAATGAATTGATAAAGACTATAAAAAATTTTGATTCAATTATTTCCTCTAATGGCGACTGTGGATTCAATCGGTGTAAACAAAACTACTTCGTCGCAATCCAGGAATTAATCGATGCGAAGTTACGTATAAGTATATTTGATAAAGATTTATTCTGTTTACCGATCGGTGACTTCTCTGAAGATAGAACAATGTCACTTGAATTTGTTCATGAAGAAAACATTTCAGATATTTTATTTGATGCTGGAAGAAGATGTATCCGAATCGATTGGATCAAAAAGACATACACATGGATTGAAGTAGATGCTAATGGACTTTATTACTCGGAAACTCATAAATTAGTTGTCAATTTTCAAAATAACCCCAGGTATGTTCTTTTGATAAAACCATAATCGCTTTACTGACCGATATTTCATTTTAATACGAAGTTAAGACGCGTATGTGATTCAGAAGTGTCTCTGTATGTTTTTAAGCTTTAAAGGACACCAAATTTTCAAATCTTTTAAGATTTTTCCTTTTTCTTTTGTTTTTTGAAAAGCTTTCACAAGGAAAGTAATCGTATTACCCGAAACTGATTTAAATGTGAGGGGTGTCAGAGATTTATTTTTATTCATTGTTTAAAGCTTCATGACAAGTTTGTCATTGTTAATTTTGCTTTGATTTTATCTTTTAGCCAATATTCCTGCTATTTGGACGCTGGAGTTACTGCACTTCCTGATACAATTCCCAAAAATTCCTATTTATTGCATGAATATAATGATGGATTTGTTTGCATCGGGCAAACTAGTCAAAAAAATGAATATTTTGGTATTTTTCCAGTGACGGATTCAAGTCGGTTCAATGGATTTGCGATGGGTTTTGATTTGGAAACTCATGTGACCATTTTGGACAATACTTTATATGTATTGACGGAAGAATTCAATTTTTTCCAATTTAATATGGAAACGCGCTCATACAATAGGATTGAACTATTTAAAGGTGCTAAAGATTTGTGCATTAATGAATTAATCTTAACTTCTCATCATACAGAAGATGATAAAATAATTGTGATCGATAAATTGAAGGGCAAATTTTATATTTACTGCATCAATCAGAAGAAATGGTTTCAAAAAGATCAAATCTTGAACGTGAATCACAATTCCCAGGAACCTTATATAACTTATCATGAGTTTACTGCGTTTGTCTCTACGTTTATACCCATAAAAAATATAAAACCATTGTTCACAAGAAAATTTTTGTAGTAAAATATTTTTATTTTTCATATATTCATTGAATAACTTTAAACAATTATTTCATTCTTGTATAATTAGTGGAAATTTATTGCTTAGAAAATATAAAAAAAATTCTCATGTTTTTGAATTTGGCGGTAGAGATTTTGTAACCAAAAGTAACTGTCTAATCATAGTTACTTGTTATTATACATTACCGATTTTATACCATTTCGTTCGCGAAAGTTTCACGCTGCATTAGTCACAAGGTTAATAAATTCACACTTTACAGTATCGGCATTTGAGTAGGTAAATCAATGGAGTTCCACCGTTTTTCATAAGTGTTGCTAATAAGAGTAATCTTAGATTCTAGTTAGCTTGTTAGTCTGTTTTGATTTAAGCTTGCGGATACATTAGCCAAGGCTGGTTACCGAACAAGTAAAAATTGAATCTCAAATAATCTCACGCTCTTTCTAATTAAACATTTCATGAGATTTTACTCTTTGATTACTGTTTTAACCAAAATTTTAACCATTTAAGTTAGTCAAAATCTTCTTGCTTGTCTAAATTTGTGAAAAACCTTAGTCCGTCAGATGGCAACCATTTGTAAATACAACTTGAGTGGATACTAGAGACTTGTAGATCCTTAAAAATTGTTTTATTTTTCCTAATTTTCTATGTGCTTTAACCTCAACGAAACTAACATGGATGAAGAGAATCAAGATTGCGATGTTCAATTGAAAATTGTTGTGAGGAAAAATGAATATTATGTCTCCAAAAAGTTCATTTGTTCATCTGTGCCGTACTTTGAGAAAATGTTTTGTGGTGATTTGTTGGAATCAACGGAAAACAAAGTGGAGCTGGATTTTGATGAACATGTCTTCGATTCTATCCTCAATTGGATTCATACTGGATCGTTCTTAGTGCAAATGGAGGATGTAATTGCTCTTTACGAAGCAGCTGATTATTTGATGATTGATGAACGTTTGTTTGAACCATGCATGGATTATTTCCACAATAATTTTACCATTGAACATCTTCCAATTGTTTTATCTCAAGTCAAAAAAGCTTCCAAATTGATAAATGCAGAAGCTATTGATTACTTCATCTGCCGCCATTTTTTAAAAATTATCAACACTGATGTTTTCTTGGATTATCCAGTTGCAACAATCGAACATATTCTCAAATTAGATTTAATGGTTTACTCGGAATATCAAGTTTTTGAATCAATCATGAAATGGGTGAATAAGAATGCAGATTTTAGAAAAGGATTACTTCCTCAACTATTGAATTGTGTGCGTTGGTTTTTCATGGATCCTGTTGAGTTATCAAAGGTTAAAGATAATGAATTAATAAAGACTCTCAGAGATTTTAATTCAATTATCTCCTCTAAGGGTGATTGTCGATCCAATCGAACTAAACAAACCTTCCGAATTTCAATTCATCGCATAGATGATTTAAAGTTGCTGATAAATGTGTACGATGATGACTTTTTTTGTTTGCCGATTGGTGATTTTACTCAAGACGATTCAATGTCTCTTGAATTTGTACATAGAGAACACATTTCGGATATTTTATTTGATACTGGAAGACAGGGTATTCGAATTGATTGGATCAAAAAGACATTTCGATGGCTTGACTTCAAAGTTGCTGGTAAAACCTACTATACCCAATTGTCCAAAACAATTGTCCAGTTTCTGAAGCCTTCTAGGTATGCTAAAAGATCTTGATCTTTACTTTCAACTTTCACTTACTTACTTTCTCTTCTCACTTCTAGCTCGCTTATTTGTCATTTGGAGGAAAAAGATACGACGCTATTTGACCAATTTAACAATGACGAGGCTGCGTTATTTGAATCTGTTGACAGCTACATCGTGATTGGTAAGACCAAAGATTATCGAAAGCTGTTTGGTCTTTTCCCAGTTCTTCATCGAAGTTGGTTCAAACATTTTAAAGATAATAAGCATACTTTCCATGCCACTGTTTTGGACAAGGTTGTTTATATTCTGACGGAGAATCTCGAATTCATTCAATTCAATTACGAAACGCGAAGCTGCAATAAGAGTAATCCTTTCGAAGGCAAACATTTATATTTTCGTTATTTGCTCTTAACTTCTCATCAAGCAAAGGATAATAAAGTAATTTTGGTGGATAAATCGACCGGAAAAATTCATATTTTCTGTATTAATAAGCAGCAATGGATTGAAAGATATGAAATGATGAATATAAAGTTTTGTCCCGACAGCTCCAATAACTGTTCTTATAAACTGATTGCCTTCACCTCAACGTTTTTACAGATGAAAAATATCAAACCTTTGTATAAAAGAAAGTTTTGTTAACTTTGAACTTCATGTGCCTTATTCATCCAACTTTTTTAAGAATTTTTAAGAATTATTTGCAGAAACTGCAATCAATTTATCAATTTTGAGTCATGTTGAATTATTTTTCAATTTTTATTCATTTGATTATATTTAAGATAGTGATTAAAAATGAAATTATTTAAATTGGTTAATCACTCTTACATTATTTACTAACAATAACTTTATTAACAAGATTCATGACAGCGGACAGGTACTGTTACGTCACCTTCAAACACAGAAGTAAATATCAAAGGATCGCGGTCATTATTATAGAAAGAGCACAACTGTTAACGAGCATTGATGTAAAAAATTGGGATAAACTACATTCGAAACTTATTGCAAGATTTCTTCGATTTTGTTGGCTAAGAAACTTGCTGCTAACAAACCAAACAATCATCTCTATCATATGGTTTGTTTGCTAACCTATGCAACTGATTCAATGGTAATGGGCAGTCGAATTTCACCAATAACATGACCAGAATAAGTTCCTTTATATCATGAATTTCTCCATTCGTTCTAGTTTCTGCGACGGAAAGAAAATATAAGTCACGCCCTTACTAGTAGTCAGCAGTAACAACATGGAAACTGAATACACACTTGTTGTAAACACACTGGTGCACACCTCACGCTCCAATACTAACTTTATGCTTTTAAAATAATTTTTTCAATACTTCGCTATCGACTACTTTTCATGTGTTTTTGTTATTATATTTTGCTTAGCTTTTTATAATGGATGAAGTGGATCAGAACTGTGATGACGAACTGATAATTGGAAATAGAAAATGTGAATATTGTGTCTCTAAAAAGTTCATTTGTTTACTTGTGCCTTATTTTAAGAAATTGTTTTCTGGCGATGAATCGGAATCAAAGGAAAACAAAGTGATTCTAGATTTTGATGAACGTGCCTTCGATGCTCTTCTTAACTGGATCCATACAGAAATATTCATCATTCAAATGGATTACGTGATAAGTTTTTATGAAGCAGCTGATTATTTGAAGATCAGCGAGCGTTTGTTTAAACTTTGTTTTAAGTATTTCCATAAAAATTTTACCATTGAACATCTTCCAGTTGTCTTAACTCAAGTCAAAAAATCTTCCAAATTGATAACTTCAGGAGCTATTGATTTTTTCATTTGTCGCCATTTCTTGAAGATCGCTAATACTGATACTTTTTTGGATTATCCAGTTGAAACTCTTGAACATATTTTAAAATTAGATTTGATGATTTACTCAGAAAATCAAGTTTTTCAATCAATCATGAAATGGGTGAATAAGAATGTTTATTCAAGAAAAGAATTTCTTTCAAGGCTATTGAAATTCGTGCGTTGGTCTTTCATGGATTCTGGTGAATTACTAAAAGTTAAGGAAAATGAATTGATAAAGGCTCTAAGAAATTTCGATTCAATCATCTCCTCTAATGGTGACTGTCGATTCAATCGAACTGAACAAAACTACTTCGTCTCAATTCAGGAAACAGATCTTTATTCAAAGATGCGGATAAATATATTCGATAAAGATTTATTTTGTCTACCAATTGGAGATTTTACCGAAGATAAAACAATGCCACTTGAACTTGTTCATGAAGAACACATTTCAGATATTTCATTTGATACTGGAAGAAGATGTATCCGAGTTGACTGGAACAAAAAGACGTTTCGATGGCTTGACGAATACCATGAGGGAACTTATTACAAGAAAATTAATAAATTGATTATCAATTTCCAGAATAATCATGGGTACGTTTATTCTATTTAACCCTGAACCGCTTTCTTACGCGATGTTTTATTTCATTACGGAAATTTTCAACTATTTCAGACGCATCATAATTTCTCATCGGATTCAATCTATTTTACACTCCAAATTTTCGAAATAATTTACTCGACTTTTTAGTTTAGTAAATTACATAAATGATTTGTATTATTTAGTTGTAATCATCTTTAATTTTACTTTGGTTCTATTTTTCAGTCAATATTCCTGCTATTTGGATGCTAAAGCCACTGCACTTGGTGATGAGATTCCCGATAACTCATATTTATTGCTTGAATATAATGATAGATTTGTCTACATCGGAGAAACTGGAGGAGAAAAGGAATATTTTGGTATTTTCCCAGCGACTACTTCGAGATGGTTCAATAAATATGAGCAAGGTTGCGATCATGAATTCCAGGCAACTATTTTGGACAAAGATGTTTATGTACTCACATCGGATGATGAATTTTTCCAATTTAATATGGAAACCCGTTCATACAATAAGATTGAACTATTTAAAGGTGCTAGATGTGAGGATTTAATCTTAACTTCTCTTCATACAGAAGATGATAAAATAATTCTGATTGATAGATGGAATGGAAACTTTTATGTTTATTGCGTTAAACAGAAGAAATGGCTTGAAAAATATATTTTAAATGTAAATCCCAATTCCAACGGTTCTCATAAAGCTACTCATGAGTTAATGGCCTTCGCATCAACGTTTTTATCGATGAAAAATATAAAACCATTGTTCAGGCGAGATTTCTTGTAGCTCTTTCAGCTTTCAAAAAAATAATCAAATAACTCACTTACCTTTTTTTAATTATGCTTCGGCGTCAGATTCAAGTACAGTTTCATTATTTTCGTATATTTATTGAATATTTTTGAAATAATTATTTCATTCTTGTAATTAGCATTGACTTAACATTGTATTTATAATGCATCATTCATTTGCTCAACAAATCTCAAATCTTTGCTTGAATAAAAATTCATTTCCAAACCAAATTTGGATTCCCAAATATTTGCCAAAAGGATAATAAAGTAATTTTGGAGGATAAATCGACTGGAAAAATTCATATTTTCAGTATTAATAAGCAGCAATGGATTGAAAGACATGAAATGATGAATATAAAGTTTTGTTCCAACAGTTCCAATAACTGTTCTTATCAACTGATTGCCTTCGCCTCAACGTTTTTACAGATCAAAAATATCAAATTTTTGTATAAAAGAAAGTTTTGTTCACCTTGAACTTCATGTGCAGAAATTGTAATATTTATCATTTTTCGAGTCATTTTAAATTATTTTTCAATTTCTATGCTTTTGATTATGATTAACATTGAGATTAAAAATTCAATTATTCGCTCTTACATTATTTACTAAAATGACACTTGTTAACAATATTAATGACAGTGGATAGGTACGGTTAAGTCAGCTTCAAATGTTAATAGCACAATAAAACCCAATCATCACATTAATTAGAAAGAGCACAACTGCTATTGAGAATTGATGCATAAAAATTAGGATTAACTATTAATACACATGTACATTCGAAACTTATTGCAAGATTGATTCGATTTCGTTCGTTAAGAACTTGCCAATCATCTCGATCACAAAGTTTGCTTACTGACCTATGCAACAGAATCAAAGTTAATGGGCAATCAAATTTTACTCTTAAAAGGATCAGAATAAATTCCTTTATAATCATAAATTCTCCATTCTCTCTAGTTTCTGTGGCGGGAAAGAAAATGAAAAGTCACGCCCTTGGCAATAGTGAGCAGTAACAGGATGTGAACTGAATGAACACTTGTTGTAAACACACTGGTACATTTTATGCCTCCGAGACAGTTATGCTTTTAAAATAATTTTTCTAGTACTTCAACTATCGAATATTTTTATATTCTTGAGCTTTAGTTAGCTTTTATAATGGATGAAGTGGAGCAGAATTGTGACGACGAACTAATAATTGTGAATAGAAGATATGAATATTCTGTCTCCAAAAAGTTCATTTGTTCAGTTGTGCCTTATTTTAAAAAATTGTTTTCTGGCGATGAATCGACATCAAGAAAAAACAAAGTGACTCTGGATTTTGATGAACGTGCCTTTGATGCTCTTCTTAACTGGATCCATACAGAATTATTCATCATTAAAATGGATTATGTGATTAGTTTCTATGAAGCAGCTAAGTGTTTGAGGATCAGCAAGCGTTTGTTTGAACCTTGTTTAAAGTATTTCCATAAAAATTTCACCATAAAATATCTTCCAATTGTCCTAACTCAAGTCAAAAAATCTTCCAAATTGATCAATTCAGGAGCTGTTAATAGTTTCATTTGTCGCCATTTCTTGAAGATCGCTAACACTAATGTTTTCTTGGATTATTCAGTTGAAACGCTTGAACATATTTTAAAATTAGATTTAATGATCTACTCTGAATATCAAGTTTTCGAATCAATCAGGAAATGGGTGAATAAGAATGAAGATTCAAGAAAAGAATTTCTGCCAAAGCTATTGAGATTCGTGCGTTGGTCTTTCATGGATCCTGTTGGATTATCAAAGGTTAAGGATAATGAATTAATAAAGGCTCTAAAAAATTTTGATTCAATTTTTTACTTTAATAGTCACTGCGGATTCAATCGTACTAAGCAAAACTACTTCGTTTCAATCCAGGAATCATTTGATTATTCAAAGATACGGATAAATATATTCGATAAAGATTTATTTTGTTTACCAATGGGAGATTTTATCGAAGATAAAACAATGACACTCGCTTTTGTTCATGGAGAACACATGTCAGATATTATATTTGATACTGGAAGAAAAGGTATCCGAGTAGATTTGGTCAAAAAGACATTTCGATGGCTTAAAATGCGTAATGATGGAACTTATTACAAGAAAATTAATAAATTGATTGTGAATTTCCAGGATAAGCGTGGGTATGTTTATTTTGTAAATCGCATTTTTGCTGATATTTTATTTGAATGCCAAAATTTGATCTTAAATTTTCAAATCTTCAAGTTTTTTCTTTTCCTTTGTTACTTGAATGTCTTTCCTAGATTTATTTTTTGTTTATTCAAAGCTTAAAGTTTAAAGCAAAATTTCAACAAGTTTGCAAATATTTTGAGACATCATTCCACTGACTGAACTTGAATGTTTAAAATGAAGACTAAAAAGGCTATGATTAACTTTGATTTGACTTACTCTAAACTTCAGAGTCGCTTCCATTTTAACTTTCCCATTGACTGAGTGGCTCGTAGCTAGCTGTATGATCAAAATCGTTTCTGATCAAAACAATTTAGATCTTAAAGCATTTCTGACTAGTTTAATATGCAAGAAAGTTTCATTTCAATGATATTTACCTATCCGTCAAAATGTAACAACCGATCAATGGCAAAGCTTCAAATTCGATTTCAGACACATAATAATTTCTCATCTGATTGAATCTTAGGGTTCAGTTCTAATCTGTTTTCTACCTCAAATTTTCAAAATAATTTACTCGACTTTTTCTTTCTGTAAATTACATAAATGAACTGCATTATTGAGTTAGACTCATCTTCAATTTTATTTTGGTTTTATTTTTCAGTCAATATTCATGCTATTTGGACGCTGAAGCTACTGCACTTGGCAAAACCATTCCCTTTAATTCATATTTATTGCTTGAATATAATGATAGATTTATCTACATCGGAGAAACTGAAGGAGAAAGGAAATATTTTGGTATTTTCCCAGCGACTACTTCGAGATGGTTCAATGGCTATGAGAAAGGTTGCGATCATGAATTCCATGCGACTATTTTGGACAAAGATGTTTATGTACTCACATCGCGCAAAGAGTTTTTCCAATTTAATATGGAAACCCGTTCATACAATAAGATTGAACCACCTGCATTTGAGGCTGCTGAGGATTACTCTATTAGTGAATATATCTTAACTTCTCTTCATACAGAAGATGATAAAGTGATTCTGATAAATGTATGGAATAGACAATTTTATGTTTACTGTACCAATCAAAAGAAATGGTCTAAAAAATATGAGGTCTTCAGCCCGAATTCCGATGATCCTCGTAAAGATTTTGATGAGTTAACCACCTTCACCTCTACGTTTTTACCGATGAAAAATATAAAACCATTGTTCAGGCGAGAATTTTTGTAACACTTAGAAAGCTGGCTTTCTATTAGCTAATATAATCAACAGTGGATGTGATTTATCTGAATACAATTGCCGTTTTATTCAACATTCATGCAAATTACAAAGTATACTTTACCATCGAAACCTTTTATTTTAAAAAATACAGCCTTTTATATCAAATAATTCACTTACCTTTCCTTAATTATGCTTCGACAATTTGCTAAAACAATTCATATGATGATTAAGCTTAGAAGCTTATTGATAAAATTTGCTCATGAAATTAGTGATATATTAAGTTAATTTTAAAAGAAACGAAGGCCAGTAGATACCTGAAGTGAGAGCTTCATGTACATTGAAAAATGTAAAATTCAATCTCATTTTTAAATTTGGCGGTAGAAAATTTGTAACCAGAAAGAAGCTAAATAACCATAGTTACTTGGATTATTTACGAATGATATTATACTACGTTCGCGAAAGTTTCACGGTACATTATTCACAGAGTTTATAAATGTACACTTTAAAGTATCGGCACTTGTGTGGCCGACACTTGTGTTAGTGTGTAAATTAATGGAGATCAAGCGTTTTTCATAAGTGCTGCTAGTGAGATGGAGCGACGCCTGTGACAAAACAAAAAATATATGTCCCTCCATTTTAGCAGTAACAACATGTGAGTTTGTTGTAAACACAATTTAAATTTTATGATATCAAAGTCTACCTTTACGCTTTTGCAATGATTTTTAGTACTTCGCCTTTTTCATGAGTTTATGAAGCTTTTTTAGCTTTTTATAATGGATGAAGTGGATCAGAACTGTGATGACGAACTGATAATTGTGAACAGAAGATGTGAATATTGTGTCTCTAAAAAGTTCATTTGTTCAGTTGTGCCTTATTTTAAAAAATTGTTTAGTAGTGATAAGTTGACATCGAAGGAAAACAAAGTGACTTTGGATTTTGATGAACGTTCCTTCGATGCTCTTCTTAACTGGGTTCACACAGATGTATTCATCATTCGTATGGATTATGTGATTAGTTTCTATGAAGCAGCTGATTATCTTAAGATCGATGATTGTCTACGGGAACCTTTTATTGATTATTTTAATGACAATTTTACCATGGAACTTCTTCCAGTTGTTTTACGTCAAGTTACACAAAAGTCTCCATTGATCAATTCAGGAGCTGTTAATAGTTTCATTTGTCGCCATTTCTTGAAAATCGCTAATACCGATACTTTTTTGGATTATCCAGTTGAAACGCTTGAACATATTCTCCAATTAGATTTAATGATTCATTCAGAATATCAAGTTTTTGAATCAATCATGAAATGGGTGAATAACAATGGAGATTCAAGAAAAGAATTACTTCCGCAGCTATTGAGATGCGTGCGTTGGTCTACCATCGATCCTTTTGGATTATCAAAGGTTAAGGAAAACGAATTTATAAAGACTTTGCAAAATTTCGATTCAATTATCTCCTCCAAGAGTGACTGTGGATTCAATCGTAGTAAACAAAATTACTTCGTCTCACTCCATAGATTAGGTAATTCGAAGTTACGGATAAATATATTCGATAAAAAACTATTCTCATTGCCGATTGGTGATTTCACTAAAGATGATACAATGTCAACCCAATTCGTTCACGAAAACATTTCTGATATTTTATTTGATTCTGGAAGAAAAGGTATTCGAGTTGACTGGAACAAAAAGACATTTGCATGGCTTGACATAGACGACTATGATGGAATCTATTACAAGGAAATGTATAAATTGATTGTCAATTTTCAGAATGATCGTAGGTACGTTTATTTTATAAAACTCTGAATCGCTTTCTTGTGCGATTTTTTGTTTTGTTTGTTAATCTCAAAATTTTGTCTTAAATTTCCAAATCTTTAAGCTTTTTTGTTATTTGAAAAGCTTTTAAATTTAAATTTTTTACAACATTATTCACTTGCTGAAATTTGAAAAATTGATGTGATACAGTCACTTGAATGTTCAACAAACTTTTAATATAAATTACTTTTAATATTTTTCAGTGAATATTCCTGTTACTTGGACGCAAAAGCTACTGCACTGCCTGAAACAACTCCAAGAAATTCATATTTACTGCTTGAACATGAAGATTCATTCGTTTGCATCGGAGAAACTCATGACGACAATAAATATTTTGGCATTTTCCCAGTGACGGACTCGAGTTGGTTCAATTTTTATATGAATGGTTGTGGTTATGAATTCCATGCAACTATTTTGGACAATGTTGTTTATGTATTGACGGAAGAGTTCAATTTTTTCCAATTTAATATGGAAACGCGCTCATACAATAAGAACAAACTATTTAAAGGTGCTAAAGATTTGCACCCTGCGGAATTAATCCTAACTTCTCTTCACACAGAAGATGATAAAATAATTCTGATCGATGGATCGACTGGAAAATTTTATGTTTATTGTATTAAACAGAAGAAGTGGTTTAAAAAGTATGAAATCTTTAATGTAAATCCCAATTCCAAAGATTCTCATGAAGATATTCATGAGTTAATGGCTTTCACCTCAACGTTTTTACCGATGAAAAATATAAAACCAATGTTTAGGCGAGATCTTTTGTAGCCTCCCAGCTTTCTAGAAGTCCACTCTAATCACCAGTGAATCTGAATTTAATTTCCGTTTTATGGAAATTTCATGACAAACTTTTCCTTCTTCAAATTGCGATTCAACATTCGTGCAATACATTGCTTTAGCACTGAATCCATTTATTTTACAAAATCCAGCCTTTCACAACATACAAGTCATTGTGTGTAAGTGCATTTCACAGAGTCAAGTTCAGTTTCATATATATTTCGTATATTTATTGAATAGATTTGCTACAATTATTTCATTCTTGTAATTAGTAGAGACAAAATTGTATTTATAATGCACCATTAATTTGCTCAACAAATCTCAAATCTTTGTTTAAATAAAAATTTACTGACAAACTTTACTGGCCACAGCTTATTTGAATCTACATGAGCAAAGGAAACCAGTTATTAATTAGATGCAATATATCAGGACATCATAGGCAATAATGAAATAGCTACTTTAAATCAAAATGCAAATAAATCGGAAAATTGAAAGATTCCTAAATGCAATAAAAACGCATATTTCTCATGTTTGGCTTTGGCGGTAGAAGATTTGTAACCAAAAAGTAGCTATTTAACCATAGTTACTTGTGTCATTGTATTTGACCGATGATATCATTATATTATGTTCGCGAAAATTTCACGCTATGATGGATGCAAGGTTTTTAAATGCAGACTTTAAAGATCGGACTTTTGTAGCCTTAACAATGGAATTTCAACGTTTTTACAGATGAAAAATATCAAACCTTTGGATAAAAGAAATTTTTGTTCCCTTTGAACTTCATGTGACTTTTGCTCTTACATTATTCACTAAAATGATATTTGCCAACAATAATAATGACAGTGGATAGTTAGAAAGAGCACAAGTGAAAATTAAGATTTATATTGCAATTTTTCTTCGATTTGATTCGCTAAGGAACTTACAAATTACCTCGAACAAATGGTTTGTATATTTAACTATTCAACAGAATCACAAGCGCTGGACGTTCGAATTAGGATAGGTGATTAAGATGGCCAGAATAAATAAATTGCAATTTTAAGTTTCGCTAACAAGAAATGTAAGCCACGCCCTTATAATTGCTCAACACTGGACTTAATGAGTAATGTAAACTCACTGGTAGAGGTTATGCTTCCTAACGTAACTTGCTTATTATTTCTAAATATCTACTTTTCTCTATTCAGCTAGCAACATTTTTCATCAGTTTTTAATTCGATTTCACTCAGTGCTTTATTATGGATAGAGTCGATCAAAATTACGAAGAAGAACTGATAATAGTGAATAGAAAATGTGAATATTATGTCTCTAAAAAGTTCATTTGTTCAGTTGTGCCTTATTTTAAAAAATTGTTTTCTGGCGATGAATTGGAATCAAGGGAAAACAAAGTGACTCTGGATTTTGATGAAAGTGCCTTCGATGCTCTTCTTAACTGGCTTCATTCTGGATTATTCGTGATGCAAATGGATTATGTGATAAACTTTTATGCAGCAGCTAAGCGTTTGAGGATCAGCAAGCGTTTGTTTAAACCTTGTTTTGAGTATTTCCATAAAAATTTCACCATAAAATATCTTCCACTTGTTTTAACTCAAGTCAAAAAATCTTCCAAATTGATCAATTTAGAAGTTATTGACATCTTTATTTGTCGCCATTTTCTGAAGATCGCTAATACCGATACTTTTTTGGATTATCCAGTTGAAACGCTCGAACATATTTTAAAATTAGATTTGATGATTTACTCTGAGTATCAAGTTTTTGAATCAATAAGGAAATGGGTGAATAAGAATACAGATTCAAGAAAAGAATTTCTTTCAAAGCTATTGAGACTCGTGCGTTGGTCTTTCATGGATCCTGTTGGCTTATCAAAAATCAAGGAAAATGAATTTATAAAGGCTCTGAAAAAATTTGACAGTGGATTCAATCGTACTCAACAAAACTTCTTTGTCTCAATCCAGGAATTAGATCATTATTCAAAGATACGGATAAATATATTTGATAAAGATTTATTTTGTTTACCGATCGGTGATTTTACCCTAGATGATACAATGCCACTTGAACTTTTTCATGGAGAACACATTTCAGACATCTTATTTGATTCTGGAAAACTCGGTATTCGAATTGATTGGAATCAAAAGACATTCATAGGTCTTAACATAGACAATGGTGAAACATATTACACTAAAATGCATCAATCGATTGTGAATTTTCAGGATGATCGTCGGTATGTTTTTTAAACCCTAGATCGCTTACCTTTTTGATATTCATGTTAATACTGCAATTTTATTATATTTTCAAATCTTCCAGTTTTCCGAGATTTGTTTGTTTTCTTGGCTGTTTAAAGCTTCCTTATTACATCAAATCCTTTGAAATTTCAACAAATTTGCGAACATTTGAGACATTATTTAAGAACTGAAATTTGAAGAGATTTGATGAGATAAGAACACTTACACTTGTTAAAATGTTTAAAATGTATTCACAATCGTTGAACTTTGAAACTGACAAGTTTTTTTCCATGTTGAATAAGTTCAATGGTTGTTCCGTAGTCCAAATTGAGCTGCATTATTGAAATTGCTTTATTATTATATTTCATCTAGAAATTTTTCAGATCAATAGACTTAAACACATCTCTCTTTACTTTTACTTCAATTTTTTAGTGAATATTCCTGCTATTTGGACGATCAAGCTACTGAGCTTCCTGATGATACTCCAGCTAATGAATATTTATTGCTTGAGTATAATGATGGATTCGTTTGTATTGGTGAAACTCTTGACGACAAAAGATTTTTTGGTATTTTCCCAGTGACGGATCCCAATTGGTTCATTGACTATCCTGATCACTATACATTACATGCAACTATTTTGAACAACACTGTTTATTTATTGACGGCGAATTTCCTTTTTTTCCAATGGAACATGGAAACCCGCTCATACAATGAGATTGAACTAGTTAAAGGCGTTGATAAGTTGGCACACAATAAACTAATCTTGACTTCTCTTCCCACAGAAGATGATAAAGTGATTCTGGTTGATAAATCGACTGGGAAATTTCATGTTTACTGCATTCATGAGAAGAAATGGTTCGAAAAATATCAAATCTTCAATGTAAATCCCGATTCGAAGGATTCATATTTTGATTTTGATAAGTTAGTTGCCTTCACCTCTACGTTTTTACCGATAAAAAATATAAAACCATTGTTCAGACGAAACTTTTTGTAACACTTGCAGCTCTCTAACAGCTCAATGTAATCAACAGTAAATGTAAACAATATGAATTTAATTATCGTTTTATGCGAAGTATCTGATCAAATGTTTCTTTTTCAAATTTTAATGAGACGTTCATGTAATAGACAAGCTCATCCTTTTGAACCTCTTTGTTTTATCAAATCTACCCTTTTATGCCAAATAATTAACTCAATGTTTTCTCCACTACACTCGTTTCCACAGAGCGAAGTTCATTTACTTCTTGAGACAATTACTTCTTCCGAGTAGTAACAATAATAACTATTACATTGTATTTTATCTTTCATTCTTCAATAAAATCGCAAATCTTAGTTACATCAAATTAAGCTTGTTTCATTTTGTTCATAGGTTTTAATCAATGTTTCAATAAGAATAGATTGTTGGAATTCGCAAATCAATCAGAAAACGAAAAATTAATTTCTTATAAAGTAAAAAGTAAAGAGATCATTAAAAGTGATAAATATGATTGGAAATGGATTATAAAATATCTCAATGCAAATCGCATGTAATTTAACAAGAACCAATGTATAACATTAAATTCTGTGAGTGTTATGTATATTGAATAGAGCATCGTTGATTAATTTGGCAGAGGGAAACAAAGACAAAAAATTGAACAAATAATGATAAAATGTCTTTGTTTTTGAGTGTCATCAGATCAGTTTAACAAAGCTAAACTTGAAGAGGTTAAAAACGGTTTTTCATTTTCAATTTTCTGGTTAAAGATTTAAAGATAAGATAAAAGTTTTAAGTAACTTGAACCCAGATTCATTAGTAAACATTCAACAGTAAAGGGTCAGACTCTTTGGCGGTTTATAACATTGATAATTGTAAGATGAAGCTATTGTGATCTCATCTTTAAAATACTGTGAGATTGGTTTAAATATATTGGTGAATCTTAAAGCTAATTTTGGTTATGCTTAAAATCTTGAAGTGTTTGAAGTTTGAAGTGCTTTTCCTTGAACATAGTGAGAATGGATAAGATAGAAAATCAGAATTGTGATGAAGAACTAAAATTGTGAATAGAGGATGTGAATATTGTGTTTCTAAAAAGTACATTTGTTCAGTTGTGCCTTATTTTGAAAAATTGAGAGCTTTACATTATGTATGTACATTGAAAAATAAAAAACGCAATCTTATTTTTAAATTTGGCGGTAGAAGATTTGCAACCAGAAATTAGCTATATAACCATGGTTACTTGGGATTATAATACCGATGATACACTACGTTCGCGAAAATTTCACGGTACATTAGTCACACGGTTTTCAAATGCACACTTTAAAGTATCGGTACTTGTGTAGCCTAATTAATGGAGTTCAAGCGTTTTTCATAAGTGCTGCTTGTGAAACGGAGCGACGCCTGTGACAAAACAAAAAATATAAGTCCCTCCTTTTAGCAGTAACAACAAGTGAATTTGTTGTTGAAAACACAATGACTTCAAGTCTACCTTTACGCTTTTGCAATGTTTTTTTCAGTACTTCGCTTTTTTCATGAGCTTTAGTTAGCTTTTTTTTACATAATGAATGAAGTGGATCAGAATTGTGATGACGAACTGATAATAGTGAATAGAAGATGTGAATATTGTGTCTCTAAAAAGTTCATTTGTTCAGTCGTGCCTTATTTTAAAAAATTGTTTTCTGGCGATGAATTGGAATCAAAGGAAAACAAAGTGACTTTAGATTTTGATGAACATGTTTTCGATTCTATCCTTAGTTGGATTCACACAGGATTATTCATCATGCAAATGGATTATGTGATTCTATTTTATGAAGCAGCTGATTATTTGATGATCAGCGATCTTTTGTTTGAAAGTTGTTTTGAGTATTTCCGTGATAATTTCACCATAAAATATCTTCCAATTGTCTTAACACAAGTCAAAAAATCTTCCAAATTGATAACTTCAGGAGCTATTGATTTTTTCATTTGTCGCCATTTCTTGAAGATCGCTAATACTGATACTTTTTTGGATTATCCAGTCGAAACGCTTGAACATATTTTAAAATTAGATTTGATGATTTACTCTGAATATCAAGTTTTTGAATCAATCATGAAATGGGCAAATAAGAATGAAGATTCAAGAAAAGAATTTCTTTTAAAGCTCTTGACATTCGTGCGTTGGTCTTTCATGGATTCTGTTGGCTTATCAAAAATCAAGGATAATGAATTAATGAACGCTTTGCAAAATTTCGATTCAATTGTATCTTCTAATGTTGACTGTGGATTCAATCGTACTAAACAAAACGTCTTCGTCTCACTCCAGAGGGTGCCTAATGGAAAGTTACGAGTAAAAATATTTGACAAACATTTATTTTCATTACCGATTGGTGATTTTACCGAAGATAAAACAATGTCACTCGAATTTGTTCATGGAGAACACATTTCAGATATTATATTTGATACTGGAAGGGATTGTTATCGAGTTGACTGGGACAAAAAGACATTTCGATGGCTCGACACACATGGCTATTATCCGGATATTAATAATGTGATTGTGAATTTTCAGGATAATCGTAGGTATGTTAACAACCCTCAATCGCTTTCTGCTTAATAACTCATTCAACAACAAAATTGTCACAAATTTTCAAACCTGTAAGTTTTTCCTTTTCTTTAGTTATTTGAAAAGCTTTCAGAGATTTATTTTTTTGTTTGTTTGAAGCTCTACAGTTCCCTGTAAACTCGCTACATCTAAGCTTTAAAACAAACAGAATCAAAACCTTTTACAACTTTAAAGAAATCTCGTCACTAATTGTTACTGCTATGGCAAGTAAATTATCAATTTGGATTAAGAAGTTCGTGTTCAAAGATCAAGCTCTGAGAAATCATTCACTGACTAAAGTTTAACATGAAGACTAAAAAGTTTAGGATTAAGTTCAGAGTCGCATCCATTTCAACTTTCCCATTGACTTAGCGGCTAGTACTGTAGTTGCTTATGATCAAAGTCGTCAACCAATTTAGATCTTAAATCAGTCTGACCAGTTTATTATGTAAAAAAGTGTTATTTCAATGGTATGGTTATATAATCGACAAAATGTATCAATCAATCAATAACAAAGCTTCAAATTTGATTTCAGACACATGATAATTTCTCACCGGATTGAATTTTAGGTTCAGTTCTAATCTGTTGTCGGCCTCAAATTATTCAAATTAATTTACTCGACTTTTTCGTTTAAAAAAATTACATAAATGAACTGCATTATTGAGTTAGACTCATCCTTGATTTTACTTTGATTTTATTTTTCAGTCAATATTCCTGCTATTTGGATGCTAAAGCTACTGCACTTGGTGATGAGATTCCCGATAGCTCATATTTATTGCTTGAATATAATGATGGATTTTTTTGCATCGGAGAAACTTTTAAAAGGAAATGTTATGGTATTTTCCCAGCGACGGACTCGAGATGGTTCAATGACTATGAGGATTGTGCCGATGATGAACTCCATGCAACTATTTTGGGCAAAGTTGTTTATGTTTTGACGGCAGAATTCAATTTTTTCCAGTTTAATATCGAAACCCGTTCATACAAAAAGCTCAAACTATTTGAAGGTGCTGAGGATCACGAATATGATGAATTTATCTTAACTTCTCTTCATACAGAAGATGATAAAGTGATACTGGTCAATAAATGGACCGGAAAATTCTATGTTTACTTCATTAAACAAAAGAAATGGTCTGACAAATACGAAATCTTGAATGCTAACCCAGATTTCGACTATTCTGATGAAGATAGTCATGATTATGAGTTAATCACCTTCACCTCTACGTTTTTACCGATGAAAAATATAAAACCATTGTTCAGGCGAGAATTTTTGTAACACTTAGAAATCTGGCTTTCTAATAGCTCAATACAATCAACAGTGAATTTGATTTATCGGAATTCAACAATTCTCCGTTTTATTCAACATACAAACTGCAAAGTGTTTTTACAATTGAATCCTTCTTTTTACAAAAATCCAACATTTTGCTTCAAATAATTCAATCACCGTTTTCTTAATTATGCTTTGGCGTTGCACGGAGCCAAGTTGAATCTCATATATTTTTATTATTCGTATATTTATTGAATTTATTTGAAACGATAATTTCATTCTATTAGCAGTAAATATTTACTAATTAGTAGATAATTAATAAATTTTTAATTTTTCAACAAAATCTCAATTCTTTGTTCAAACAAAAATTAATTGACGGACTTTACTTTGAATCTGCTTGAGCAAAGGACACCAACTATTAATTGTATATAATAAAAGTTGAATCAGGACATCATAAGCAGTAATGAAATAGTTACTATAAATCAACATGCAATTAGATCTTCAAAAAAGTCCAAAGCTATTTGAAGTAAGTATATATTTTTCGCCATATTCGCCATATTTTCAACAGAAATTTAAACAATTAATTGTTATCTATTATCTTACTTGATCAGGTCATGCCGATTTGAAGTATCTAGTTTCGATAGTTAGTCATAAAACTGACCATAAAGACCTCGAAGCTAGTCGAGAAAGCACCAACTGGCTAAATGGTTAGTCAAGTAGCATCAACTCGACTAGAGTCGACTTAGTCAGTGCATTTGCAGTAAAATTTTGTCGGATGGAGTTGATAGCGGATATTGTTAAGTCACCTTTAAATCTTATAACACAATAAAAATTGAATGATTATGATTATCAGAAAGAGCACAAATGAAAATAAGAATTTTTTCATAAAAATTCTGACACAAGATATTAATATATTCGAAATACACAATACCGCAATATTTCTTGGATTTTGTTCGCTAAGAAACTTACCCATCATCTCAATTACATGGTTTGTATGCTAATTTTTCCAACATATTCAAGAGTTATCGGTACTTCAATGTTTCCATTAACTTAATCAAAATAAATTTCTTTATAATCCTGAAACTCTCCGTAACTCATATTTATTGCTTGAATATAATGATGGATTTATCTACATCGGAGAAACTGAAGGAGAAAGGAAATATTTTGGTATTTTCCCAGCGACTAATTCGAGATGGTTCGATGGCTATGAAAGGGGTTGCGATCATGAATTCCATGCGACTATTTTGGACAAAGATGTTTATGTATTCACGTCGAATGAAGATTTTTTCAAATTTAATATGGAAACCCATTCTTACAATATGGTCAAACTATTTGAAGATTCTTATGATTTTTATATTAAATGCATGTCTTCCAACAATGTAAACAATTCATGTGATGATCAAGCTTAGAAGCTTATTGATAAAATTTGCTCATGAAATTAGTGATATATTAAGTTAATTTTAAAAGAAACGAAGGCCAGTAGATACCTGAAGTGAGAGCTTCATGTACATTGAAAAATGTAAAATTCAATCTCATTTTTAAATTTGGCGGTAGAAATCCCTCCCTTTTAACAGAAACAACATGTGAATTTGTTGTTGTAAACACAATTTAAATTTTGTGAATCCGAGCCTACCTTTAGGCTTTTGCAATGATTTTTATAATACAGTCTTTCCTCACTTAAGTTATAGCCTCGCTTAAGTTATAGATATTTTTGAGACGCTTTGAAGTTAAAAGGTTAAAACTAAAGAGTTTAACTACCTAGGTAATGCCAATAGGGTTTGAATAGTTTAATTGAAATGATGGTCAGTGTGTTTTTAGATACCAACATGGTTAGGTTGATTTATTAAGTTTATATCAAAGAGTTGGAATGATTTATCAACTCAAACAATTAAGAATTGCTGGTACCAAAGTGGCTACAAACAGTGACATCTGCGGATAAAACGCTTGTACTTAGACCCACAAAAATTATAACTTAAGTGAGGAAAGACTGTACTTCGCTTTTTCATAAGTTTATGTATCTTTTTTTAGCTTTTTATAATGGATGAAGTGAATCAGAACTGTGATGACGAACTGATAATAGTGAATAGAAGATGTGAATATTGTGTCTCTAAAAAGTTCATTTGTTCAGTCGTGCCTTATTTTAAAAAATTGTTTTCTGGCGATGAATTGGAATCAAAGGAAAACAAAGTGACTTTAGATTTTGATGAACATGTTTTGGATTCTATCCTTAGTTGGATTCACACAGGATTATTCATCATGCAAATGGATTATGTGATCCTTTTTTTTGAAGCAGCTGATTGTCTTGAGATCGATGATCGTCTGTGGGAACCTTGTATTAATTATTTTCATGACAATTTCACAATTGAACATCTTCCAGTCGTTTTACATCAAGTTACTCAAGAGTCTTTATTGATCGATTCAGGAGCTATTAACAGTTTCATTTGTCGCCATTTTTTGAAGATCGCTAATACTAATGTTTTCTTGGATTATCCAGTTGAAACAGTTGAATATATTCTCAAATTAGATTTAATGGTTTACTCTGAATATCAAGTTTTTGAATCAATCATGAAATGGGTGAATAAGAATACAGATTCAAGAAAAGAATTTCTTTCAAAGCTTTTGACATTCGTTCGTTGGTCTTTCATGGATTCTGTTGGCTCATCAAAAATCAAGGATAATGAATTAATAAAGACTTTGCAAAATTTCCATTCAATTTTATCCTCTAATGGTGGCTGTGGGTTCAATCGCACTAAGCAAAACGTCTTCGTCTCATTCCAGAGGCTGCCTAATGGAAAGTTACGTGTAAAAATATTTGATAAAGATTTATTTGCACTACCGATTGGTGATTTCACTAAAGATGATGCAATGTCACGCGAATTCGTTCACGAAGAACACATTTCAGATATTTTAATTGACACTGGGAGAAGATGTATCCGAATTGACTGGAACAAAAAGACATTTCGATGGCTCACCGAATCCTTCTATTATAGAGCTTATGGAGCTTATGGAGCTTGTGGAGCTTATTACACCGAAATTCATAAATTGATTGTCAATTTTCAGGATAATCGTAGGTATGTTTAACACTTCAAGATTTCAACAAGTTTGCAAATATTTCGACATCATTCTGACTGAACTTGGATGTTTTAAACGAAGACTAAAAAGTTTAGGATTAACTTTGGTTCGACTTACTCTAACCTTCAGAGTCGTATCCATTTCAACTTTCCATTCGACTGAGTGGCTAGTAGCTAGCTGTTTGACAATTAGATAATCGTCAAATTTATCAAAAGATCAATGGAAAGGTCTCGAATTTAATTTCAGACGCATGATAATTTCTCATCTGATTGATTTTTATGATTCAGTTCTAATCTGTTTTGCGCCTCAAATTTCCAAAACAATTAAATCGACTTTTTCGTTTAGTAAATTACATAAATGATTTGTATTATTTAGTTGGACTCATCTTTAATTTTACTTTGTTTTATTTTTCAGTCAATATTCCTGCTATTTGGATGCTAAAGCTCCTGCACTTGGTGATGGAATCCGCTATAACTCATATTTATTGCTTGAATATAATGATGGATTTGTTTGCATCGGAGAAACTTTTACAAGGAAATGTTATGGTATTTTCCCAGCGACGGACTCGAGATGGTTCAATGGTATTGCGGTTTGTTTTGATGATGAACTCCATGCAACTATTTTGGGCAAAGTTGTTTATATATTGACGGCAGAATTAAATTTTTTCCAGTTTAATATCGAAACCCGTTCATTCAAAAAGCTCAAACTATTTGAAGGTGCTGAGGATCACGAATATAATGATTTTTTCTTAACTTCTCTTCATGCAGAAGATGATAAAGTGATACTGGTCAATAAATGGACCGGAAAATTCTATGTTTACTTCATTAAACAAAAGAAATGGTCTGACAAATATAAAATCTTCAATGTAAACCCCAATTTCAACGATTCCGATAAAGATGATTATGAGTTAACCACCTTCACCTCTACGTTTTTACCGATGAAAAATATAAAACCATTGTTCAAGCGAGAATTTTTGTAACACTTAGAAAGCTGGCTTTCTAATAGCTCAATATATTCAACAGTGAATTTGATTTATCGGAATTCAACAATTCTCCGTTTTATTCAACATGCAAACTGCAAAGTGTTTTTACAATTGAATCCTTCTTTTTACACAAATCCAACCTTTTGCTTCAAATAATTCAATCACCGTTTTCTTAATTATGCTTTGGCGTTGCACAGAGTCAAGTTGAATCTCATATATTTTTATTATTCGTATATTTATTGAATTTATTTGAAACGATAATTTCATTCTATTTAGCAGTAAATATTTACTAATTAGTAGATTATTAATAAATTTTTAATTTTTCAACAAAATCTCAAATCTATCCGTTCACCCTAGAACTCAAGAGAATTTCAGAATTTACCAATTAAGCCACTAAATGAACGACTAAGTTGTCTAAACTTCGATTGACTCAACGGATTTAGCTTCTGGATCTAGAAAACATTCATAATTAGGATTCCAAGGAATTATTAGATTTGATGATTTATTCAGAATATCAAGTTTTTGAATCAATCATCAAATGGGTGAAAAAGAATGCAGATTCTAGAAATGGATTACTTCCACAGCTATTGAAATTTCGTGCGTTGGTCTTTCATGGATTCTGGTCAGATAATGAATTAATAAAGGCTCTAAGAAATTTTGATTCAATTATTTCCTCTAATGTCGACTGTGAATTCAATCGTAGTAAACAAAACTACTTCATTTCTATTCATCGAATAGATGATTCAAGATTGAGGATAAGTGTTGACGATGATGCATTATTTTGTTTGCCGATCGGTGATTTTACTCGAGATGATTCGATGTCTCTCAAATTTGTACATCAAGAACACATTTCAGATATTTTATTTGATACTGGAAGAAAAGGTATCCGAGTTGACTGGAACAAAAAGACATTTCGATGGCTTGACTTCAAAGTTGCTGGTAAAATCTAATATGCTCAATTGTCCGAAACTATTGCCCAGTTTCTGAAGCCTCCTAGGTATGTTAAAAGATTTGCATCGTGTATGTAAATATCTGTAAAATTTCCTTCAATATCATACATGAACTCGTTCATACATGCTAAAATTTTTGTTGATATTTGTCGATATGATGAAAAATACTTCTAGAAATCTTTTATCTTCTTCTAAAAATTTATATTTAGATGTATAAGAAATTTTTTGCAGAGAAAATCTTCGTAAATTATCAAAACTTTTATATTCCGTATGGTTAGTTGTTTCGTCATATATTATTTTAAACGCATAAGCATTCAGTTCGTGGGCACTGTTTTCGATGAGATTACTTAAAAATACGAAATTCACCGTTTAATTTCTTTTCGTCCCATTCTTTAGGTCCTTTGGTTGCTATTTGTTGGACAAAGAAGAGAAACTTCCTCCTCATGTCATCAATGAAGAGACTGTGTTTCTTGAATATAATAACAAATACATTTTGATTGGTAAAACTAATATCGATAGAAAGTGGTTTGGTAGATTCCAAGCTCTTCATCGAAGTTGGTTCAAAACTTATAAAGTTAATAAGCGTACTTTCCATGCCACTGTTTTGGACAAGGTTGTTTATATTCTGACGGAAAATCTCGAATTCATTCAATTCAATTACGAAACTCGAAGCTGCAATAAGAGTAATCCTTTTGAAGACAAATATTTGCAATTCGATGATTTAATATTAACTTCTCATCAAACAAAGGATGATAAAATACTTCTGATAAGTAAATCGACTGGAAAAATTCATATTTTCTGTATTAATAAGCAGCAATGGATTGAAAGATATGAAATGATGAATATAAAGTTTTGTTCCAACAGTTCCAATAACTGTTCTTATCAACTGGTTGCCTTCACCTCAACGTTTTTACAGATGAAAAATATCAAACCTTTGTATAAAAGAAAGTTTTGTTCACTTTGAACTTCATGTGTCAACCTTATTAGCAATATTTATCATTTTTCGAGTCAAATTGAATTATTTTTCAATTTTTATGGATTTGATTATGAGTAACGTAATGGATAAAAATAAAAATGTTGAATTTTGTTCACACTCATACATTTTTTGCATTTTTAGCAAGATAACATTTGTTAACAATAAGAATGACAGGTATAAGTACTAAAAATCGCCTTTGAAATCGCAATAAAATAGAAATAGAAGTCAAATGATCATGATTCATGCTTATTAGAAAGAGCACAATTGAAAATTAGTATTGATATTAAAAATGATCATAAATTAATTGGGTTAGTGTTAATAAGACACGAATAGACACATTTAATCACAATTACTCATAAGTAATCAAAAGGAAATACGCATAAATTTTGACTTTAGAGTTAAGAGTAGGAACCTTGTGGGTTTGTAGAGGCATAAAAGGCTTCAATAAGAATAGATTGTTGGAATTCGCAAATCAATCAGAAAACGAAAAATTAATTTCTTATAAAGTAAAAAGTAAAGAGATCATTAAAAGTGATAAATATGATTGGAAATGGATTATAAAATATCTCAATGCAAAATGCATGTAACATGTACCAATTCATAACATTTAATTCTGTGAGTGTTATGTATATTGAATAGAGAATCGTTGATTAATTTGAAAGAGTGAAACAAAGAAGCAAAAATTAGACAAATAATGATGAAATGTCTGTTTTTGAACGTCATGAGATCAGTTTAACAAATCTAAACTTGAAGAGGTTAAAAACGGTTTCCATTTTCAATTTTCTGGTTAAAGATTTAAAGATAAGATAAAAGTTTTAAGTAACTTGAACCCAGATTTATTAGTAAAGGGTCAGACTCTTTGGCGGTTCATAAGACTGATGAAGCTATTGTGATCTCATCTTTAAAATACAGAGTGGATAGAAAGTTTCTGGTGTGGGGCGGAGATGAAAAATGCCTAAGAAAAAGGCGCTCAATACTGAACTAATGTGAGGGGAGGTAACGATAAAGTTATATCGGCTGCG